AGGGGAAAAAAAAAAAAGAAGACAAAGCGAAGAACATTCCAGAACTGAATTTAACAACTCAAGGCTATTTTATAAATAAGCACATTCTCAGTAAATAATATCTTAATAATTGGACCACACAGTAAACAATATTGAAGTGTTTTGTTTTATTTTTAATTTACTCTTCCAGGTCTGTATTGATTTATGCTGCTTCGATGCTGACATTTTCATACAGAAAGTGATATTACAGCACAGCAGTTGCTTGCAGTTACTGATATTTATCCTGCCTTTAGAATTGCCTCTGCCGGTGAAGATTTTAGGGCTCTTTTAAATTTTAAATGGCAAACATGGTTTGGGACCCATTTGAACAGTGTATCAACAGGTGATTGAGGTGAAAAGCAAAGCGACGCAGATTATGGCTATATTGTATATGTCAGTCATCTTTTTCATGGCATCAGATATTAATCACCTTTCAAATCAAGAGTCAGTGCTTAGCATCACTCAAGTGTGGAAAAAAGGACCTAAGAACCACTGATGCTTCCCAAGGCCTTCTAAGAACATTTGTTTTCCCACTTAAGCTTACAACCCTACAAAATAGGTGTGACTAACGTCAATGATGGCAAATTCAATGTGACAGTGAGCAATTCCTCTATACTCTAAACAGGGGCAGACCAAACGCACATATTTACAAGGGCGACTTTGATGCACACAGACCCAGAACTCAGCTCACTCTGCTTGCACAACCAGAGAACCTTTAATGCTACAGTTTTCCCACTTAATCTTACAACCCTACAAAACAGGTGTTACTAACGTTAATGATGGCAAATTCAATGTGACAGTGAGTAATTCTTCTATACTCTAAACAGGGGCAGACCAAATGCACATATTTACAAGGGCGACTTTGATGCACACAGACCCAGAACTCAGCTCACTCTGCTTGCACAACCAGAGAACCTTTAATGCTACGCATGAGCCAGAACAAGTCAATTTAGCACAATATCAAGTGCCTGTGATGGCGTCTGACATCTGGAATTCGTGAACACTGCTGCTGGGAATGTGAACTGGTACAATCACTTTGGAAAACAGTCCCACAGTACCAAATAAAGTTAAAGATTCAGTATCTTTATCTTTGACCTACAATTCCACCCCTAGATGTATTCCTTAGAAATGCATGCATTTGTACACCAGGAGAACTGTACAAGAATGCTCAGAGCAGCACTGCAGTGGTAAAAAGTGACAACTACACAAATGACAGGAGATGGGATAAATAAATTATGGTATAATCATACAACGGAATACTAAAGAGTAGTAAAAAGTAATGCCTTATTACTTAATATATCAAAATGGGGGTAAATAAATTATGGTATAATCATACAACGGAATACTAAAGAGTAGTAAAAAGTAATGCCTTATTACTTAATATATCAAAATGGGGGTAAATAAATTATGGTATAATCATACAACGGAATACTAAAGAGTAGTAAAAAGTAATGCCTTATTACTTAATATATCAAAATGGGGGTAAATAAATTATGGTATAATCATACAACGGAATACTAAAGAGTAGTAAAAAGTAATGCCTTATTACTTAATATATCAAAATGGGGGTAAATAAATTATGGTATAATCATACAACGGAATACTAAAGAGTAGTAAAAAGTAATGCCTTATTACTTAATATATCAAAATGGGGGTAAATAAATTATGGTATAATCATACAACGGAATACTAAAGAGTAGTAAAAAGTAATGCCTTATTACTTAATATATCAAAATGGGGGTAAATAAATTATGGTATAATCATACAACGGAATACTAAAGAGTAGTAAAAAGTAATGCCTTATTACTTAATATATCAAAATGGGGGTAAATAAATTATGGTATAATCATACAACGGAATACTAAAGAGTAGTAAAAAGTAATGCCTTATTACTTAATATATCAAAATGGGGGTAAATAAATTATGGTATAATCATACAACGGAATACTAAAGAGTAGTAAAAAGTAATGCCTTATTACTTAATATATCAAAATGGGGGTAAATAAATTATGGTATAATCATACAACGGAATACTAAAGAGTAGTACATGTAGGATAGTCTTTGGTTTTATTATTCTTTATATCTTACATGTGTTGTAAATGTTCTTCCACATGCATTAAATAGTTCATAAACATTTCCTATGACTAGGTTACTCCTTACTACCCATAATTTTGATCTTATACCTTCGATTATAACCTTAATTATACAGCTGCTATAAGCACTTAAAATATTTTTAATGACAAGATAAAGTGTTCATTATGTTACACAGAAATTTCAGAATATTGAACTACTAGAGGCCCGGTGCACAAAAATTTGTGCACTGGGGAGGGGGGTCCCTCAGCCCGGCCTGTGCCCTCTCGCAGTCTGGGACCCCTCAGGGGATGACCACCTGCTGGCTTAGGCCTGCTCCTGGGGTATTGGGCCTAAGCTGGCAATCAGACATCCCTCTGGCAGCCTGGCAGCCCTCGGGGGATGTCCACTTGCCAGCAGGGAGCAGACCTAAGCTGCAGTCAGACATCCTTAGCGCTGCTGAGGAGGCAGGAGAGGCTCCCACCACCACCGCTGTACTGGCAGCCATCAGCCTGGCTTGTGGCTGAGCAGAGCTCCCCCCTGTGAGAGTGCACTGACCACCAGAGGGCAGCTCCTGCATTGAGCGTCTGCCCCCTGGTGGTCAGTGTGTGTCATAGTGACCAGT